CGTCTAAGTAGATGATGCATGGAATGCCCCTGGATCTTAGGTGGGCCACCACTGGTTTTAGGAGTTTGGTGAAGCACCATGGGGCTGAGCTGAGCCCGAAAGGGAGGCAAGTGAATTGCCAAGGGCGTCCGTGCCAGAGGAAACGTAGGAGTGCTCGACAGTCCGGGTGTACCGGGACTGACAGATATGCGTCTTTTAGATCGAGCCTGGTGAACCAGTCGTTGCTTCGAAGAAGGTCTTGCAGGAGGTGGATGCCTTCCATCTTGAAGTGGCGATAGACCACATATGCGTTGAGGAAGCGTAGATTGATGACAGGGCGGTATTCTCCCGACTTTTTCCGAACCAGGAAGATGTTGCTGAAGTAACCACCCCCGTCGCGGACCGGCTGGATAGCCCATTTGTCTCGGAGCTTGCGTAGCTCCGCGTTGACGAGGTTGTGGTCGAAGGATGACATGTGGATGGGGTGAGGGGGCTGAACCTGAAAGGAGGTCCCCACTAGGTCTATGATATATCCCTGTACAGTTTGTAGGATCCATGTGTCTGAGCATAGGGCGGCCCAATTCTGGAAAGAAAGGGAAATACGGCCCGCAGTGCGGGTACATGGTAACAGTGGAGGAATATGGGTCCTTACCTGCAGCAAAGCGGGAACGTCCGCGAGCTCCACGACCTCTATCCGAGCCTCTGGAAAAGGGTTGCTGCCGATAGTCTCTTGTCGGGTAAAATGGTGTTGGTTGGGTGCGGAGGCCTGAAGGCCAAAATCGGCTGGCGGCACAGCCCCGTTGCCGGCCAGCCCTTCCAAAAACCCCTCTGGTAGGGTTGTTTCTGAAAACTCTGCGCATTGAGGACTGCGCCTTATTAAGGGAGGTGAACACGTTCACGTGTTTATTGAGTTCCTTGAGGAACGGTTCGCCAAATAGTTTCCCTTGTGCCTGGGCCCAATCTCCTTTGTGCCAAGGTTTGCCAATTTGCCATTAATACGGTACAACGCTGCTTTTCGTCTCTCCAAAGAGAGCGTAACATTAGTGTTTCCGATGAAACAAAAACACTGTTGTGCCCACTCACGAACGTCATGTGCCCATTCCCTGATGTCCTCGGCGGAGAAGGGGTCGACTTTGGCGTAGGCATCATCCGCCAGATACATAATGCGAGCCAGGGGGCCTACGGAATCCAGCAGGTTATCTTGGGTGCCCCATAGGCCTTTCTCTACCCCTCGGCGAGGGTCTCTACCACTGCGCATCATGAAGGTTGACATAACCTTGTTGAATTCTGGGGTCTGCGCGACCTTATCCGGCAGGGAAGGGCGTGGGCACACAGACCTGAGTCGGCTGCGGACCTCTTTCTCCAGAGGTTTGCGGAGCCACAGGTGCATAAACCTGGAAAGGTGTTCTGGAGGCGACCAGTCACCCGATCTGGGGTGCCGTATGTTGCGGGGGTCGAACATCGCCTGACCTGAGGGGTCTAAAATGGTGTCTGAATCAAGAGGAGGTTCTGCGTCCGCAGTGTCCTCGATACCTCCTGTCTGGGCCGCACCCAGGAGGGTCTCCCGCATGAAAGCGGATACAGATTTCTCGTCCGAGCCCCATGCGTCGTAGTCCGACTCAGAAGCGTCAGCTTGCCACTCATCCAGCACTGACATGGACTGGGCAGGGCCCTGCTCTTCATCTGAAGAGTACTCCTGGCGCGGGGCCGGGGTGTGTAATTTGGCAGACTTGCGCTTGACCGGTGCCTTACCCTTAGGTGGTTTAGGGGTATAGTCTTCGCCTTTCTCATGGCGTTTTTTAGGGCGGGAGTCATCCCTTGTCTGGTGGTCGGACAATTCAGAATCCGACTCGTGGCGTGGACGTCTGCGTTTTGGCACGTCACGAGCCGAAGCTCGGGCCTTGGAGAGTGCCTTCTCCACAGAGGCAGCGACAGCTGCGTTAATCATAGCCTGGAAGTCCACAGGGACATTCTGGGAATCTTCCATGTTAAGGGTAGGCTGAAACATCACTGAAAGGCACAGCAATAAACGGGCACCCAGGTCTTGATAATAGGCGTAGGGTCAGATTTGGTAGTATGGTGGGAACAAGCCCAGAATAACCCCAGCAGTGTATAGTGGTGACCTTATAAACTGGGGCTCACCCAGTTAGAGAAAACTGCAACAGCTAGTCTCCCAGTAAGCAGCGTCTTTATAGTGGGGGCTCACCCCGGTTGCACAGGGTTGGGACCCTTGAGTGCAGGTCACAATAATAATAAACAGGCAGCAGCACTGACCTGACTGACCCAGCCACAGGATATAGCTTGATAGAAGCAGATGAGGCACAGAGACTGAGTAGCAGATTGATAGCAGCAGATGGAGTGCTTGAGCAGGTAATCCTTCAGTCACAGGGGTATCAGACACAAAAGGTGTGAAAAACAGCAGTGCAGAGGTAACAGCAAGTTAGCACAGCCACACTCCCTAATGAGATGCACGAGGCAAAACTAAGATGGCCGCGAGAATCTCGCGATGTCCGCGATCCAAAATGGCGGCCGCGAGGTAGGCCGCAAGCCGGGGACTAAATTTTGAGGCCGGCCGCGGGCGGAAGCGGTCCGGCGCGAAAACGGCCGCGAACGATACCGGCCACAAGGAGGGAGCCCAGGAGGGCACTCCAGGTTAGGGGGGCAGTGGGGGGACCTGGGGAGACCGAGGGGAGGCCAAGGGAGGGTCCCAGAAGGAATAGGGGGGCAGATAGGAGGGTAGAAAACCCACAGAGAGCTCCTAGTCCCACAGCCCAGTACAGAACAGAGTAAAATGGAAATAAAAGGTGATAAAAGCAATGATAATGAGGTTATGAAAATAGAATGGAACAAATTAATAATGACAATAAATGTATAAAGCTCCAGGGGAGCAAATATTCTGACCTGTCTGCGATGGAGCAGTAAAGAAAGAGGAAGTGTACAGGCAGCATGACCCTTATATACTATGCTGCTCAGTGATTTATTTGTTACTCTTTACGTTTTTCTTTACTGCTGTGGAGTTTAGTAAAGAGAGTTGATGCAAAATAGGAAGCCTCCTGTCATGTTATAAAATTGAGGGCTAATGGGCCATGGAGGGGGGTCTTTCTAGCAGAGGCTCGCTCTGTGTCCTTTATAGAGTGTGTTTGAAAGAATCCCCTCCAGGCCCCATTAGAGACTACAATGGAGTCTAATAGGCTTGGAAGGGGGTCTTTCTAGCAGAGGCCATCTCAGCGTCCATTAGATAGCCTCTGCTGGAAACAGTCACCTCCAGGCCCCAGTAGAGACTACAATTGAGGGCTAATGGGCCATGGAGGGGATTTCTAGCAGAGGCCATCTCAGTGTCCTTTAGAGAGTGTGTTAGAAAGAATCTCCTCCAGGCCCCATTAGAGACTACAATGGAGTCTAATGGGGCCTGGAGGATGGTCTCTCCAACACTCTGGTTCCTATTCACAATATAGCAACACAACATAGCTCGCTGATACCTAGGCCAAGTTGGCTCCTCTTACCTTAATTGTTGTTGCTGGCTGGCAGTCTATGGGCTTGCTGGAAGGATGTGGGCTTGCTGGCTGCGGCTGGCAAGCTGTGGCTTCCTGGCAGGCTGTGGGCTTGCTGGCTACTGCCGGCAGGCTATGGGCTTGTGGGTTGCTGGCTGCGGGTTGCTGGCTGTGGGTTGCTGGCTGCGGCTGGCAGGCTGTGGCTTGCTGGCTGCGGCTGGCAGGCTCTGGGCTTGCTGGCTGTAAGCCTGTGGCTTGCTGTAGGTCTGTGGGCAGGCTGCTGGCCTGGCTGGCCTCTGGACTGGCTGGCTACTGGCCTGGCTGGCCTGTGGGCTGGCTGGTGGCCTGTGGGCTGGCTGGCTGGTGGCCTGGTTGGCCTGTGGGCTGGCTGGCTGGTGGCCTGTGGGCTGGCCGGTGGCCTTGCTGGCCTGTGGGCTGGCTGGCTTGCTGGCCTGTGGGCTGGCTGGCTACTGGGGCACTTATAGATTATTTAAAGAAATAATCCATGCACAATAACCACTGCTGCTCTGTTTAGTGGATGTGGTGCCAGGAGGGCCGGGATCCCCTCCCAGAGTAAGTAGTCTAACCGTTTAAGAACAGTTTGAAAATTTACTTGGGGTCTGGTAGGATATGGGGCTGTAGTAGGGTATAGGAGCAGTGGTGCAATGTGTGAGGGGTGCAGTGTGTGTGAAAGGTTCAATGTGTGTGTGTGTGGGGGGTCTAGTGTGTGAATGTGTAGGGTGTCTGGGGCAATGTGTGTATGGGTGGGCTGTGTATGTG